CACACACACCGCTGGGGCCACCCCTGACATATTTTTGTGAATAGATTGCCATTAATTTGATTAAAGACATGATTGTTTAAAATTTTATTTGTTGTATGGTACTCATACACTCTTTGAAATGTTCATTTAGACCTACCTAGGCCTATTTAATTATTATTTTAAGAATAGGCCTTACCTATACTATATGTAATAATTTTGATTTAATCACATTTGAATGGATCAATGTGTTATTAATTTTACCATCATCGAGATGAAATTAAAATATAGCATAATACATTCCATTGCTGATTTTAGATTTTTAGTTCGATACCCAGCCAGTTCGATACGACGAGTAGGCTACGTGATGAATTAAAACTACGCACAAAATTGTGACGTCATAAATAGGCCAATTTTAAGAAAACAGCCACGTCTTTCGTTTACATTTAAAACCTGCCAGCGTGACCCAAACATCAGACAATAATTAGTCAATGCAAATATGAACACAATTTATTCACTATATCTATACAAGGTCGAATATCTAAATAATCAGGAAAATGTATTGAATATATAATACGTGCTAAAATGTATTTACAAACTGAATATTATAGATTCAGACACCCGTAACATGGATAACTTAATTTGCATTTTTGTATTCATAAACAAAAATAATATTTAAAATAAAAACGTTCATCGGAGACGAAGTTATTACGTCTTAAATTTCATAAAACAATTCAGTAATGTTCTGCAGGAATTCTTTCATTGCTATCGGGGTTTTTTTCCTTCTTTTTAAGTAATGGTAATAAATCAAACTTAAAATGGACAGAGCATCTGTCAAAAGGATTGATCTGTCAAACATTGATTGGTTGGTTGATTGATTGATTGATTGATTGATTGAATGATTGATTGGTTTATTGATTAATTGAAAGATTGAAAAATTGAAAAATTGAAAAATTGAAAATTTTTTTTATTTAGGTATTGTATATTTATGTATGCCAGATATGAGGTCGGATTTGAATTACTGCTCCAAGACTTAACAACAACCTTGTCTGGAAATAGAGTTTACTATACTGGACCTTTGACCTTTACCAGGAAGTCTATCCTGCCCTCTGATTGGGAATGATCGATGTTTGCAGCCCATATGTAGCAAACGATCCGAATTGGCACGTTCTCAGTAGGATTCATCAATTGGACAGTTACAAATGAATCCTGAAGATCTGCCGATAGAAATCCTGCAGAAGGTGTAACAATGATAGCTCCAATGGCCCGCTTATCAGCGTTAGTCTAAATATAAGAACAGTAAATTCATTTAATTTCAAAGAATCGAATAAATTATCAAGTTTAAATAAAATACATATTAATTAGAAATCATTTTTCTCTGACTTGCAGACACTGCATTTAGTCCACATTACTTCTTTTGCCCCAATAGTTTTCCATACCATACCTTTTCTGGGTTATAATTCAGCGATCCAAATTCAACGTAAACACGGAAAGGAACCTAGAAACTACCTAGGCTAGTAGGCGTATAGTATTCAATTATAGTAAAGTTCTGATAACCCTATAGAGAATAGAGGCCGAAGGAGAGATCACTTTCTGAAAAATATATTGCCTGAAGTCTGTAGGGCTGAATTCAATTTAAACTCAAATTTATTTCGGGTTAAAATCTTATAAAAATGCATACATCAAAATTACAAATACAGGATGACTGAAAGTACACAAACTTGCCACTCTCATGTGGCTCTCTAAAGTAGCACTCAAAACACACAGAATACAACACAACCTTCATTATTTATATTATATAAAACATTTACCTTTCCATCGCAAGTTACAGGCAAGTGCGTATCATCATAAATGTTCTTTATCGTGTGTGGGAGGGGTATTGGCGGATAAGGCAGTGGGGCCCATTTTTCTGAATTCTGTTGAAAAATAAAACAATCCCTTTCAAGTTCAACAATAGTGTAAGTTACATCATTGTTTGATAGCGTGTGGCGATTCCACTATTTTGCAATTGATGCGTTATAAATGTTTGAACAGTGCGATGGTAGAGTTTAGTATATTGGGATTGAAATTTAAAAATAGAAGAAGAATACTTTATCGTCATTGATCAAGTATTAGAGTATTAAGTGAATAAATAAAACACACTAAGATACGACATAGACTAAAACATGATTTACACAGAATATTAAAATAATAAAACTTAATGATATGACAATTAAATATATTATATTGCAAGAGTAATTGCATAAAGAAACTAACTGCATAGAGTTGGAGATAAAATTACAAGTTTAAGGTTTATAACAAAATATACAAGAGACGATAATATATATTTCATTTCATTTCATTTATTTTGTCTCAATAAAATACATAAAAAAACAACAACCTGTTACAATACAACAAAATAAAAGCATAAAAAATCTGAAACAGGCCGAGACAGGATTCCTAAAAGTGAACCAAATCACTATCATGTAGGTCTCCTAATGCACTATTCCGATTACACATAAAATAATAATAAAATGAACAATTGAAATAATACTTAAAATTTGTAAAATTTGCCTTAACAATAAATATATATATAGAAATTGTAAAACTTATTTAAAATATAATTTAAGATCGTTTAAAATGCTTTAAGATTAAAAACCAATAAATCCCTAGTTTCTACAGGTAGTTCCTCCCAAGCGCGTGAAAACGAATGAAACACGGAATATTTCAGAGAATTTGTTCGAGCATATTGATGTACAAATTTAAGATGATCACCGTGTCTAGAGTTGATTGCTATGTAATTAAAAATATTAAAATCATAGAAAGCCATGAAGAAATTTCGCAATAAAAGAAATAGTAAGAAGCTTAAAACGTTTTTTCAACTGAAATTAGACCGATAATGTCAAGACGTTGTGCATATGGAAGTTTCCTCCCTTGTTTTGGAACACAGACTCGAGTCATCCTGCGTTGGACTTGTTCTAAAGACTTTAGATGCCCCTTCTGATGCGGCAGCCACGCGGGGATGGCGTACTCTATAATTGGACGAACTATTGCACAAAATAATTTCGGAATTACAAATATATATGTGTGTGTGTGTGTGGGTGTGTGTGTGTGGGTGTGAGTGAGTGAGTGTGTATTGAGTGTGTATTTAGACAGATAATATGTACATGAGTTAAAATATACTTACTTCTGTGAACTTAATTATAAAGCAAGGGTCGCCAGATGCATATCCGAACTTAGTATCTGGATTACAAGTGAGATGTGTGTTGGAATTTGGAATATATGCTGTTAAGAGACGCACGAACTTCATGTACGAAGCAGGCATTGACGGTCTGTAGGATATGGCAGTTTTATCGGGTAGCAACCGGAGTCCTTGCAGTAAGTAAAACACATTAGCATTACCGAGAGACAATCATAATCAGTAGAACGAACTTTCTATTAATTTTCCTTTTTCTTTTTTTTGTATTTCATTATTTTATCAACTCCTTTTTTCTATTTTTTAGGACCAACAAGATCAAAATCAGTTACGGCATACAAAATACTTAATATTTACCGGTCTTGTAGAGGCCAAGTAGAGGCATGGTATAAGGTGTAGTTAATGTAATCATTATATAATAGTATGCAGTTTATTAGTCCAAAAGTTTTAGAGTTGAAATACAAAAGTTTTAGAGTTGAAATAATAAATAATTGCACTGCACTTCAGTTATGTATAAAAATAACTTCATATGGAAAATAAAACCATAAAATCAATTTTACTTAACAATAGCATTCTTGAGGTGAAAAGCATTTTGTAACTTACACTCATTTTTATAAAAAAAAAATATATATTTATTTTGGCGTTTACCTGGTGGACCAATAAATTCTGTCTGAACAACCTGCTCATATGGATGATGTTCCTTCCCATCATGCTCTACGCCTACATCTACCGATTCTTGTGTTGGTTTCACATCCAGTGTTATGATACCACGCGTCGATGTGAAGTTTACCAAGTGTTCCGAAATTAGTGGAGTCGTACTATGTTGCATTGGACGCTGTATAGCTGAAAGGTATATATTTTCGAAACTACTAAATTATTATCTTCGTAGTCGTTGTCATTGTTAATGTCATTGTAATTGCTATTGCTATTATTAATAATATTAATATTAATACAGCATCATTATTATCAATATCATTACTATTGTCACTAGTATATTACTGTTATTATAATATGTATATATAAGCAAAACAATAATGATAATACTAATGAATATTACTGTCATTACATTGTTATTATTGGCCTTTCCTAAAAAAATTTTTCTGTTCAGTTTTCAAAAAGCATAAATACGTAATTATAACAACATTTATAATATACTATTTACTTGATGTTACAGGTCCAGAAGCCAAAAACATAAAATGAGGTTGATACAGGTTGAACATCTTGTTGTTATCTGGTACCACCTTGCGCCTACTGAATTTACATGATATATACCCATCAACAGCCGACACACTGTGTACGTTTATATTTTCCTACAAAAAAATAAAGACTCAATTCTTAGATAATTGCATTAGTTTTATTTACTTCTGTAGAGAAGAAATGTGGTGATAGCTTTTTTAATATAGAACATTTGTATTTGACTAGTGATAATTAGATATTCTTGGTTTATGTGAAATTTTTCGTTAATACAATAACTGTTTCAAAATAATTAAAGATAACAACAATAAAAATAGACCTAGCATCAACAATAACAATAGAAGTAGCAGTAGCAATAGTAATAGCAGTAGTGTCAGTATTAGTAGCATTAGAGCAGCATTAACAATATAAATGGAAAAAAAACAACAATTGCTTAATATTTTATTAATATTTTAATTAATGCAATAGCGGGAAAAACCAATAATAATAATAATAATAATAATAATAATATTTATAATAATAATAATGATAATAATAACAATAATAATAATAGTAATAGTAATAGTAATAATAATAAATAATAATAATAATAATAATAATAATAATATAATAATAATAATAATAATAATAATAATAATAATAATAATAATAATAATAATAATAATAATAATAATAATAATAACAAAAGCTGTAGCTTGGTGGTTAAACAAACACTAACTAATTCCAATCACTAAGCATCATTGAGACCCGGTTTCCAAGTCGCTATAATGTTTTAATTGCAATCGTTGCACTGCGTAGCTATCCGAACCCCGATTCGATCGACCGATCAGCGCCACCGACAGCTGTCAGCGACATTGTGTACAGACTATACTGATTGACTGAATTTATGTATTTCGAACACAAAAAAAATTAAAATGCGAACAAAAAACAAAGAATAATCACAAAATACAACAATAAAAACATACCATAAAAACAGATGACGCCATGCAAGGGAAACACGAGAAAGAAGTAAACCAAGGATAATTAGATAAAGTTTCACATAGTTAGTGCAACTCACTCCCATCTCAAGTCCTTTTGAACATTTAACTGAGACAGTTGAGGCATCATTAATCAAAATTAAATATTTTTTGAAGATAATGAAATAGACTGGTACATTTTACACGACATTCATTAAATATTCTTTAACTGTGTGTGTAAAGAACTTAGTAGAGATTGTGGCCTTGATGGAATCTGGGAGAAAACTAGGTTTATAAAGCAGCAGAGGGTGTGTTTTAAAATGTAAGTCTTCACTCGTAAATGGTGTAAATGTATGATAAATTTAATACCACTTTACATTATTATTATACTTACCGCAGCACTAATTTCTTGAATATAATGGCGGCCAGTGTAGGCATGTTTGATGTCAGCGTTGTCTTTTGCTTTACTAATAATACAGAAAACAGTATCGTCTTCATTCTAAAAGTATAAATGATTTTATAAAAGCCCTTGTTAAAAGTAAACTTAACGCAATAGCACGCTTCTGAGGCAAACGAAAGACGCCCTGTTATTCGCTCATTCCCATAGCTCCTCATTTCCCTATATTATAGTATTTCAAAAACCAGAGGTTCCACTATTTAGTCTTAAATAGAACAAAAAGACAGTAACTCCGAAAAGAGACAGAGACATTTTGAGATCATCCCAAAATGCCTCTGGCTCTTTATATAATTAGGCCTATTTATTGTATAGTTTAAAGAAATTTACTTGTCTAATGTCAAGGCAGGGCTACCGTAATATATGCGTTGTATTTCTGTCAAATTTGCTAGTGCCATAATAAACGATGGGAAATGACAGGGTTCAGAGATAAAGGTTTATCAATACCGAGGTCATTAACCCTAAAACAAGGCTCAGGAAGTTCGTTGTAATACAGGATATGTTATGGAATTTAAGTAGTTGAGGCTTTGCGTGATGCCTAATTCAGAAAAAGGGAAAATGACACCAAGCTCAAGTTTATTATTACGTCTATGTTTATTTTTTAAACTTGTTTTTTTGTCTAATATCTGCGTCATATCAGAGGAACTGACGTAAGTTTTATTGAAAATTCCCCAACTTAAACAAGTCCTTTAGGAATGTTTAGAGAGGGCGTCTGACAAAATTTGACTTACGTTTGAAGATTAATTCGACCAACGTTTTTAAAAATTACGTCTTAACACCTACTGAATAACTGATGTTGGATTGTAAATGAATACTGCGGACAATAAAACAACTGAACAGATTATTTTTTTGGGTCACGTGTTCAGTTATTTGATATGTTTATTCAAACTTTTTGGGGGCCAACATGCAGTAATGGCGTGCCTACAGAAAATCAATGTTTAAAAAAAAATTTGAAATGGCTTTTTAAAAATAGTTTTACATGTATTTAAACATTTGTCTATTAAGCACTAATATATAAATATAAAAAATGCTTACCATTTTTAACTGATCCTCTAGCAAAGATTAAATACCATTTCCGTTTCGTGTTGAAATACTGCGGGACGTATTTAAGTATCTTTTTTCTTGTAAATACACAATGAATTATTCCGTGTTCAGCGTCATACGACGCCTTTGATACTGTAGCTCCTGCGTCCTAAATGTCAATAATACTATTATTATTAATAATACCAATACAAATACAAAAAATAGCAGTAACAGTAGCAACACCAATAGCAACAGCAAAAACAAAAACAACAACAGCAAGAACAACATTCCCAACAACAAGAATTACAGTGTAAATACCACAATAACAACACCAGGCCAGTCGGTCTGGGGTATAAAAGTGCAAAAGCATAGGCGGATTGAAAGGGAGCAGACCCGCCCCCACCCTCTAAAGTTGTCAATATTTTTTAATTTAAAAAAAAAAGAAACTTCGATTAAACTTTTGAGTCTAGGACTGCCATTTCCGGCCATCTAGAGGTGCCATAATCCTAAATTTTCTTACCTCATTCCCAATAATGGTGGAGCTGAGATAGTATAGACCCTCTACCTGTGAAAGTCCCTTTCCGGGCTCCCTCTATTTCAAATTCCTGGATCCACCACTGCGAAGAACAGTTTTACTTTTATTTTTTCTTATAATAATAATAAAAATAATAGTAGACTTACTAATTCATTGGTATGCATTTTAGAATATTCTCCGTATATATGTCTTACTTCCACATTGCTTCCATTTAGAACGCAGGCAACCATATCATCATTACCCTATAACAATAAAAAAAAAACAATATACAGTACAATGTATGTATTTTCACTCTCTATCTCTCTCTCTCTCGTTTCTTCCTTTAGGATAAGTTAGATTAGCAGGCCCATGGCGTGGGGGGGGGGGGGGAAGGAGGTTACGAGGGGTAAGGAGGTTACGACAAACCGCCCAAAAACTGGCGAAGGTCCGCATTTAAAAACGAAAAATTGATATTCATAGATATATTTTACAATGTTCGGAGATCATACAAGCCAAAAGTACGGTAATAAAATAAGACATATCACTAAGTTCATCTTTGTGGTGTAGTTTGTTATTGTACAATGGTTTCCAAATTGTTGACTTTCCACTGAAATGAACATCCCACAAATTAAGTCACGCTACGGACCTGATTAGTCATTAGATAACTAGAACGTCTGTGAGTATAACTGTTCTAGCGGGCAAGCTTTTTGTGGGGGGGGGGGCGTGCGCCCCCGCCCCCCTTGGATACGCCACTGATTAATTTTAGGATAGTTCATTGGTTAGTTTTTTTTTTTTTTTTTTTTTTTTATTTCATTCACTGTAAGTGCTTTGAGACTATTATTTTAATTGTGTAAGGCGCTATTCCAAGTCTATTTCCATTTCCAATTTCCATAATTATACACATTGGCGGGCCGACAATACGTGATATTGTTTTTCGATTTTAAATATATAATTTGTCGGTAATTCATATTTGTCTTGATCTCACCAATATTTTATCCCTTGAGAGTCCAATAGCCACAAATCCATCTGTTTTACCTCTCAAATTAAACTTGAACGACTTCCTGTCACTCGTTTCTTTCACAGAGAGGGCGTACTCACAGTTTTCCTCTGGAATACATTTGGACGGATGTATGTAGCAAGCAGCTCGGTCGCACATTTTGGGCGTACCAACCAACTCGTCATCCTTAGGCAACCGGCTTTGTTGACCCACACATCCGTATGCATAAATCGACAATAGCACTAATAAACGGCATTTTGTCAGCATGGTTGCCTGGAAACAGAACAGCTAATAAAGTGTTACGGCTACAGTATTACTATTCATGACTCTAGGATTATGATGTTATTTGTTATCTTAAATTTTGTTGCATTTATAAATGAATGAACGAACAAACGAACGAATGAATGAATGAACAATTGAACAAAACCGAATGAACGACATACTGAATAAGTAGCAACAAATGACGAAACAACTACAGTATAAAATACAGAACAAAACCTTGTCAAGTAACCAGCCAACATAAGAAAAATTGAAAAAAAAAACAATAAATAATATAACTATTTTTAGTTAATTAAAAAATAAACAAAACATTAGTTGAATCATATATCTGAATTGGCCTACTATGTTTTTTCTAGAGGGTTTATTCCTCTTAAGGCATGTTGATTGGACATCTACTGGGCCTATGCAGTGTAATTCTTTAATAGTGATTCAAATGGGTCGGTGTAGTAAATTCTCTTGTTTGTGTATTTTACGTGTATTCCCTAATATGTCGTAAAATAGAGCAAAGTGAAAAGATTATTAAATGTAAACAATTTAAGTACAATCACTTTTCAGTTTTAAACAATTTTAAAGATACATGTTAAAGATATGAATTGTTTTTGAAGTGTTTTTAGCGTCCAATTTATTCCAGTAGGGACCAACACAACCTTCACACCTGTTCTCCGCCCTCGACACCCTCTAGGGTTGCTGTGTTGCAATTATTGACCTACAAAAAAGGCAATGAACTTTCAAGAGCAAATTACTGTATCCTAAAATTTTTTTAATACGTGGCAAAGTTTACTGTAATATTATGTATGGCAGTTCGTCATGTAATGCTCAAGTTGTTGTGCCCGATTCCAATGTATGTTCCGGATGCAAAGACTGGATCTTCACTATGATTGTAGTGATATGACAAGCGAGATGGTTTACTTTAAATAACTGAACTGACTACATCTCTTCTGGTTATAATGCAAAGCGTTTGTTCACACTGCGTGATATATACAATATATACAAGTAGGGTTGTGAGACGTAGTGTCTCCTTCAAGGTATCAGAAGGAAGTCCTATCTAGATAACTAATACTTTACTTTTCATACAAGCATGGGGTGTGATGGACTTTCTCTGATTGGTTGAAAGATATCACCTTATCCTAATCATTTGACTATTACATCATTTTGGGGAGTTTCTATTGGTCAGATAATATAACAACTTTGGGGGTAAAAGTGAACTTATATTTAGTAACGAGCTCTCTCTCAATCGAGCTTATTTTATAAATCAAATGTAAGGAGTTGACCACTTGGGCTTTTTGTCATGAATTGGCTATTGTCCTGTCAAAGACTTCATATATAATAATTATAGAGACGTTTAACAGATGCCCACTAAATTAGTGAGGTAATGGGGTAGTGAGGTAAAAGTTCAGTCCAATGGTTTTATTGATTTGGCCTATATTCGTAAGTTTTCTTAATACTATATAACATTACATTGATTTCAAGTTGAAGCGTAACTTTACATTGAGTCGAGACGCAATTTGACATTGAGTCGAGATTAATCTTTACATTGAGTCGAGATGTAACTTTGCATTTAGTCGAGACGCAACTTGACATTGAGTCGAGATGCATCTTTACATTGAGTCGAGATGTAACTTTACATTGAGTCGAGATGTACCTTTACATTGAGTCAAGATGTAACTTTGCATTGAGTCGAGATGCAACTTGACATTGAGTCGAGATGTGACTTTACAATGAGTCGAGATGAAACTTGACATTGATTCGAGATGCATCTTTACATTGATTCGAGATGTAACTTTGCATTGAGTCGAGATGCAACTTGACATTGAGTCGAGATGTGACAGATGTGTATAAGAGA